ATAAAGCATTTGAGACTGCTTTTAAAAAGATGATAGAAGACAGTGTTGTTCGATTAAAAGAAGAATTAAAAGAAAAGTTGGCAGCAGCTCAATGATTGGTTTCATTATTATTTGAATAATTTTTATTAGTTTTTGATATCATTTTTTCTTCTTTAATTTAACAAAAACAATTAATTAAGTAAGTAGTTAAATTGATTATTATTTTGTTATATATTTTCATCTTAATACTTTTTCGAGTTTATTATTTTGGAATGTATTAGAATATTCTCATCTCTCTTTTTAAGTTAAAACAGAATCTCATTATAATACTTCTGGAACAGTTAATAATTTAGTTTCTTTTTTTTTTTTTGTGTCATTTAATTTATACACCAAAAACTTATTAACAAGAGACTTAATTAATAATGGATGATTGTAAATGAAATAAATGTTTAACAGCAACTCAATTATTTAAATTGTATTTCTATATAATATAACAGATTAAAAAGAAGTTAATCAATACCATATAAAATGAAATATAAAAAGAAAAAACTTAACAACACTCAACCAAAAAAAAAACAAAATATATAAAAGAAACATTTTTCAATAGAACCATTAAAATTGAACACCTTCAGGAATTTTACCAGCTGCTCTTTCTTCTTCAATTACTTTCTTCCATTCAGTCATAACCATTTCTAAAGCAGCAACACGTGCATTATTTTTGATTGCCAATACACGACCATTTCCAATCCAATTATCATCTTGGTTCTGATAAGCTAAATCAAGATACTTTTGTAATTCTTCCATAGTGAATGATGGATCATTTTTAATTCGTTCAAGGAAGAGATTAAGAACAGTTGTAAAGTGGTCATCAAAAAGTTCTTGTTCCCATTCAGAGTCGTTTGTATCCATTTGTTGTTCAATGAATTTTATAGTTCTTTTTGGACAAAAGAATCAAAAACTTCAATATAACACTCTCTTTTTCTTTTCTACCAAAAACCCTTTTTTCATTGTTTCATAGAAAAAATAGAGGATAAAGATAAAACATCAAAAACTATAAGTTATTTTGGCTTGATGAAGTTGAGCTTTGATGGTATCTGAAGAGTACTAAAGATAGTTGGTTTTACACGTGAGAAATCAACATTTAATTGGTCATAAACATTTTGTAAACTTTCATAAGCAGTGTCTTTATCACTTGATCCAAAATCGTCACGTTCAGAAATTAAAAATCTAACAATTTCAACAGGACAGTCTTTATAGTCTTGTAAAATAATATTATACCCACTTCTAACTGCATCAGCTTCTTCTTTTAATAATTGAGAAAATCCTCTTAATACATTTAAATGTCCCATTAATTTTTTCTTATTTACAAAATCTTGAAGGAAAGAATTTATTGTTTCTGAATCTTTTGCAATCATATCTCCTGTATTAGTTCTATCTTTACGATTAAATTTATGTTTCTTTGTAATTAATTGAGTAACGTATTTATTAATTAAATCAATAACACATTTATCAACAATATCCTCTACATATATTTTTAATAAATTTGGTTGTAAATCTGAAGATGCATATTCTTGAATACATCCAGCAATCATCTCTATACAGTCATCATCTCCATAATATTCATCTTCAAACAAATCTTTAATTTTTACTTCACAATCATCCATTATAGTTTCTCTAATATAAAAACACGCTTCATCTATTAATCTATCAAATGAACTTATAACTGTAGAAAAATCAAATTTATCTGCTAATTCTGTTCCAATAATTTCAGTAACTTTTGATAACATATCTTCTGTTTTTTCAATACATGCATTAGAATTATTAATTATTGAAATGACATATCCAAGAGGTAACGAAACATCTTCTGTTTCTTCTTGTTGTTCTTCAGTTAATTTATTATATGCAAGACTATCTTTTAACTGTTTACTAACAACAGTAGAATATAATTCCAATGGAGTAACTAACGCATTAACTACTTCATAAATAAAATCACTATTCTTTGATGTTTTAGCAATTTCTATTTGTTCCTTTACAATACCAAATAAATCTACTGGAGCTGTAGTATATAATAAATTATTAATTGTTGATGGTGTTTGTTTAACGTCTTCTTTCGCAATATTTGGTACCCATTCAAACATTTTTCCTCTAATTCTTTCACGATATTGTAATTGTGCTCCACGAAGTGCTTCATAAAAATTAGGTACAGAATCAGATGGAATACCAATTCTTGTCATTGTTGGTAGGAAATCATCAGTAACCCATTTTAATAATGAAATAATAGTAGTATTTGCAATAACAGTTCCACCTAATTTATCAGGATCAGCATTAGACCATAATTTAAATAGGTCATATAGTTTTGTTGTTGTGGAAGTAAGATAAATATTTTTAATTTGATACTCTGGTGGAAAACATGCATCAGCATCAAATGATGCAATAGTAAGTTCATCGAGATAGTCTTGAAGACTTTTCATAGTAGGAGATGTATTAATCCATGGTTGGTCAGCAATTTCAAATTTTTTGTAAATAGATTTTTCAGCTGCTGTTTTAACAAGTCCTTGAATTTTTTGAACATAATCAACGCCATCATATTCGTATTGTTGAATCTTTGAATTTTCAAGTTTAGATTGTTGTTTAATTAATTCTCTGTCTCTTCTATCTCTTTCTGTAATAACTGCTATTTTAACTAAAATCTCTGGTCTTTTATTTGCTCTTTCAATAAATTCTTCAAAAATGTCATCAATAGATTGTGTTAGTAATTGTCTTATTTGTGTAATTTGTTGAAAATATGGATCAACATCAGCTGTATATGGAAGTCCAAATTTTCTAATTTGTTTTTCAATGGCTAATCTTAACATTTCATATGTACGAACTATTGAATGAACTCTTAATAAATTTTGTTCATCTTTTAATAACTCTTCAACTTCTTTGACTTTATCTTTTAAACACTTTAAATATTTTACTGTTTCAATAACTTCTTTTAAATTTCTTTTAATTGTAGTAATTTCTTTAACAAGTGCATAGTTTTGAAATAAATCATCACATGCTTGACAAATATCTGCAATTTCTAATGATAATTTATCGATTTCTGTTGCATTTTCTTGTGATTTTTCAAGTAATTTTAATCCAATAGAAAATCCTTCTAATTCTTCTTGAATTCTTGTTTTTAGTCTTGCATCTAATGACTCTGATTTTTCTAGTGCCTCTATCTCTCTTTCATTAATAGTTCCTGTTGATTTATCAGAACCAAATAATCTTTCTATCTCATTAATGGCTTTTTGTTCTGCCTCTTCTTCCATAGTAAGTTTTTTTTCTTCTTGTTTAGCAAGAACAAATGTTTTTACAAGACTAGTTGAAATCATTTGTTTAATTTCTAGATTATTCCTATTTTTATCTCCTTCTGAACTATTTTTATTCTATTTTTATTTTCTTGCATTTTTTTTCATATAAAACTCTTCTTAACTTATAATAATAATTTATTCTATTTTTTATTAAATTAATTTGTATTATCTTCTTATGATAAAATTATAGTAAATTATAGTTTATCTTACTACTCTAACCCTCTCTACTATTTAAACCTTTTCTGTAATTTAATTTATGAGACTTCATGAGCAAGAACGTCAAAATTAACTTCCCAGATATTCTCAAACCATCAGCTGAAGATATTAAAATGATGGTTGCTTGCCGTGTCCATATTGGAGCTACTAACTTAAACTTTGCCATGGAAGAATATATTTATGAAAGAGGAAACAACAACGAATGTATCTTCAATCTCATGAAGACTTGGGAAAAACTTTCACTTGCTGCTCGTGTCATTGCTGGTATTTCCAATGAAACACCATCTGATGTAGTTGCTGTTGCTGGACGTGAAATGGCTCACAGAGCATCACTTAAATTCATGAAATACACTGGATGTACTGCTGTTGCTGGAAGATTTACACCAGGATCATTCACTAATCAAATTCAAAAGAAGTTCATGGAACCAAGACTTATTATTGTTTCAGATCCATCTGTTGATCATCAAGCTCTTAGAGAATCAGGATACATTAATGTTCCAACTATTGCATTCTGTAACTCAGATAATAGCCTTAAGAATGTTGATATTGCTATTCCATGCAATAACAGATCAAGACTTTCAATTGGTCTTATGTGGTGGATGTTAACTAGAGAAATCCTTAGATATCAAGGAAAACTTGCTAGAGATGAAAAATGGGATGTTATGGTTGATCTTTTCCTCCACAGAGAACTTGATGCTAAGAAGGATGCTCCAGTTATTGCTGGTGAAGAAAAAGTTGCAAAAGTCGAAGACAAAAAGGCAGCTAATGATGCTACTGTTGCTTCAACTGAATGGGACGATCAAAAGAAGAACTAAATTAAATTAGTCCAAATTCTTTTTTAAAAAATTCTTTTATTTTAAAAATTGTAATTAATATGTAAATATGATTAGTGGATTTTTATGAATTGAAATAGTTATGTTTAATATAAAAAGAGATAATTAGAGTTTCCATTTAACAATGGAATCAGAACTTGCTAATGAATTTTTAACTGAACACAACTCAACACACAGAGTTGATAATGAATATGAAAGAATGTATTATATCATTCAATCAGAAGGAGTTGATTCAAGTAAACATCGAATTAGAGAATGTAGAAATGAAACTAAATTAAGTGTGATATCAGAATGTTCAATTGAAAGACAAACATAAACATTAATTTAAAAAAAATATTTTGAAATGAAATTGATATTATATTTTTTCTAGAAACTAGATAATAACCATCTCAATAATTATTTTATATTTTGTATGATTAAAAGAGAAATTAAAAATTATCAAAATAAATTACAATCAGCTATTTCATCAAGAAATATTGATGAAACAAAATCAGTTATTCAAAATATTATAATTCAATCTACAAGAGGAGTTGATATGTCACCATTATTTGCTGATGTTATTATGGTTTGTTTTTATTTATTCAAAAATTTAAAAAAAAAAAGATATTAATATATATAAAAGGCATGTGAAACAGATGATATTGAATTAAAGAAAATGGTATATATGTATCTTTGTACATATTCAGAAAAATATCCAGAATTATCTATTTTATGTGTTAATACATTTTATAAAGATTGTAGAGATAGTAACCCAATTGTACGAGGTTTAGCAATTAGATGTATGTCAAATTTTGAAGTTGATACAGTAAGAGAACATTTATATGATGAAATAGATAGATTATTGGATGATAATAATACATATGTAAGAAGATGTTCATTAATGGCATTAGGTAAAGTTTTTAAAGATAAAGTTACAACGACAAAATCAAAAACGGATTTTATTCCTAAAATAGTTAGATTAACATTAGATAATGATCCATCAATTTCATTAGATGCATTGATTATATTAAAAGAAATTAATGATGGAAAAGTTACAATGACTAAAAAGAATATTGAACATATTGTTGGAATGATTAATAGACTTCAACCTATTGAAGTTGCAGAAGCAGCAATGTTATTAAGAAATTGTGAAATAATGGAATATTCAGATGTTGAACATATTATGAATATATTTGATGAATTTATTGATTCATTAGATCCAGCACCAGTAATGGAAACAATTGAATTATTCTTATATATTAGTGAAAAATTTATTAAACAAGAAACATATACAAATGATATTCTTCAACGAGCTACAGATGGATATATTGGACTTTATAATTATTATTCAACAGTTAATGCACAAATAGTTAGTGTAATATTAAATGGAATATTATCAATTACTCAAAAATATCAAGAATTTTTTAAGGATTCATCTATTATTATTCCAACATATAATGATCCTGAAGAAATTGTAATGATTAAAATGAAAATTTTAGAAATTAATACATCAACAGAAAGACTTAAAAAATTAATGAAACATTTTAAAACATTAATATTAGATACTACTATTCAAAAATATATTGTTAATGGATTAGTTCAATTAGGATATCAATCAAGAGAAAATGCTAATATTATTATTTCTTCATTTGTTGAATTATTAAATAAACCATTAAGAAGATATGTAGAAATTAAATTATTTTCAGGAATAGCTAGATTAATAGAATATTATAATGATATTAGTTCTGATGAAATTAAATATATTAGTTATTTATTTGATGATGCTGAAAGTATTTTTGAATGTGATGAAGAAGATATTACTCATGTATTTTATATTTGTGGAGAATATGAAGAATGTTTTAATTTAGATATATTTATTCAAGCAATAGAACATTGGAAAACATTAACCTTACAAAATAAACAATCATTATTAACAGCTAGTGTTAAAGGATTTATTAATAATAAAGAAAAATGTTCTATAATATTAAAAGAAATAACAAAAAAATGTTTAGAAGATGAAGAAATAGATTTAAAAATTCGTTCAAAATATTATCTCAATTTAATTGATACAAATTTAATGAAATTAAAAGAAATAGTATTTCTTCATCATTATTAATTGAAATATATATTTCATTATATATTTTTTTATTCTTTTTTTTTTAAAAAATAAATAATAAATAAGATTTAATCTAATTTTCTTTTTACTTGATATTCATTTTCATCATTTTCATTTATTTCTTGTAATATAGTTTCTCTTTTTATTAATTCTGGATAGTCTGTATTATATTTAAATAATGCTTTTCTAGGATCAACAACTATACAATTAATTTTCTAATAAAATAATTAGGAAGATATAAACAAACGAGTAAAATCTTGTTTTAATTGAATAGTAGAATTAAAAGATTCATTAGTTTCATCTTTATATAATGGTTTATATTCTAAATCAATATTATTTTCTTTTTGTTGTTTATGTTTGTATTTTTTATGATGATATGGTTTTTGTTTAATTATATTCATATCCATGATTTGTTGTGGTAAATTTTCTATGAATTTATCTTTACATAATAAACATCCATCTCTACTTAGTGTTTCATCAAAGAATATATGAATATGACCAGTGTCATCTCCAACAAATATTTGGTTAATACAATCATTCCATTCAATAAATGTTCCTTTTTCTAATTCAACTTCATCACATAATTCATAATTAGATGTATTAATAAATTGAAGATGAGTATCATTACAACATAGAATAAATCGATTATCAGGACTAACAATGACATTATTATGAAGTGTTGGACATTTTACTTCAATATATTTAATACATTTATTTATTTTATTATCAAAAATATATAAACCATCATTATTTCTTGTAATCATCATTGTGTCATTACAATACCATTGAACAGATGTATGATATGATAAATTTGTTTTGTAGGAATAAATAGGATGTATTTTTGGTGTTTTAGTATCAAATACATCAATTACATTATCATGAGTTACACATATTAAATTACCAAAAGAATTATAATTACAAGATGTCCCAGCTGATCTTTTTGTTTTAAACAATTTAATAACTTCTTTTTGTGATGTTTCCATTGTATTAATATCCCAAATTCTTAATGTTCCATCAACAGATGTTGAAATAAACTCATTTTCAAAAATTGGAGAAAATTGAACTTGAGTAACTTCACTAGTATGTCCAAATGTTTTCTTTAAATCAACAATGTACATATCTCCTTTCTTAGACCCTGTTTTCAATTTTCCATCTCTATCAAATAATTTAATTTGTACATTTGAAGTTCCAGTAATAAATAATTGATCATTAAATGAATGAGAAATTGAATTAATTATATTTCCTTCAAATCCTTGAAGTTCTCGAAAAGGTAAAAATCTTGAGTCCATAATAGTGAAATCAAACATTTGAATTTTACAATCATTTCCTCCACTTAGAAATCTATTTCCATTTTTTTCAAAACTAATACTTGTTGTAGTTCTTTTATGAGAATCAATTAATATTTCATTTGTACATGGAATTTGATATAAATTTGTGTTTATAGAAGAATCTTCAAATCCATCAATACTATCACTGTTATCCATATACTTTATTAATTATTTTTTTTTCAAGTTCTTTTCAATGATATTATCTTAAAACTAAAAAAAAAAGAATTTATTCAAATTCTTTGTCATGCAACAAGGTCAACAATTTCTTTTTAATTTACAAACATATCCTGCTGTAGATGAATATATTAATACAGTCTTAACTTCAAAAGAAGATGATTTTTATGATAAAATCTTCAATCAAATTGATGACTTAAAACTTAAATTGGAAATTCAACGTCAATGTATAGATAAACTTCGGATGTACACAACTGCACTGGAATCAGAAATGAGTGAAATTCCTTCTTCTAATCAACAAGTCATTCAACCTCAAGAATTACCATCAAATCCACATCTTAACCAAACTTCCCCAACAAAACAAGTCAAAACATCACCTTTAACACAACCAAACACACCACATTCTAATACAGAACATCAAACAACTGAAGAAACTACTTCAACACAATCAAAACGAGGGAGAAGAGCACAATCAATTGATATCACTTCTCTAGTTGAATCACAAAACCAAACAGTACCAAAACCACAAAATATTACATCATCTCCAAGTACAAATGGAAACCACTCTACAAGTTCTCAAGAACTTCTTTCGTTCCAAAGCAATGAGGAGTTAAGTACTTCTCATAGTCAAAGTAGTCCTTCAATAGTTCCTCCAATAAAAACAAATCCAACACATAAATCAGAACCAACATCAGTTCAAGACAGTCAAGCAGATTCATTATTATCACCAAGTAGTAAAACACAATCAAGTCAAACAGTTTTCACAGTTATAAGTAATAAAAATGAACAAAAAATAGAAGATAAGAAAGAAAGTAAAAGTATTAAAGACAATAATAATGATAATAAAAAACCAAATGATACAAAGAAAGCAGAAACATTTACAATTCCTTTTGGAACAAAACAACAGAATCAAATTAATAAATCAAAAGATGAAGATTTTAACAAAAAACAACAAGTATTAAAAACAAATCCACTTATAAAATTACAAAATGAAAATCAACCACAAAATACAACAAAACAAAATCAATCTCAATTATCTCAACTAATTCCACCACAAGAAGAAATTCAACCACAAAAAGAAGAACAAAAAAAGAAAGTTAAAGTTGTAAATAAAAATGATATTGATAGTTATAAGAAGATTGATAATTTACCAACTATTCTTCCTGAAACTGCAACACAAGGTCCACTTCCAACAACATTTAATCTTCCATTAACAGCTAAAAAGAAATCAAGAATAAGACAAGATATGTCATCAAAAAGTGGTGATGATGATGATAGTAAAACATAAAATTAATTTAAATGATTATCATTTAATTAGAACCTGATTTAGCAATGATAATAATAATAATGATGATCACAATAACAATAATAGCAACTACTCCCCCAATAATAAACCATAATTTCATATTTTTCCACCACATTGTTCTCTTTAAATCGGTAGATGCTTTTCTAAAATCATTAGCATGACCAACCATATCTCCAGTTTGTCCTTCAAGTTCTTCAGCAGTAGCAATATTTCTTGTCATATCTTGAATGTTTTGTTGCATTAATCCTTGTGTTTCTTCAAGATCACTATTAATAGCTTGAAACCGAGCATCACTGAATGTTGAGTAAATCAAAATGAATTAAATTTTATAAATAAAGATAAAGATAAAAAAAAAAAAAAGAACTAACCGTCCTGACATTATTCAATTATATAATTTTAAGATTTGTTGTTTTTGAAGTTTCTATTCATTCAGTTATAAAAAAAAATCTATAATGAATATGTCATATCTTCTTTTATTAATTTAATTAAACAATAATCTCAAATTGAAGCGTTAATTTGATGAGTAAATAACTCTGTAAGCATAAATAAAAATACTAAATATTCGATTGAACAATCAAACATTCTTGATATTCCTATAAAAATTACAACAACTGAAGTTAAATTTACTTTTGAATTTGCCCAACAATACATCCAAGTCATTAACCATACAAAAACTAATAAAGTAATAATATTAATTAAATCATCATTTACATTAAATAATTCAAGAATTGGAATAACTCTACATGATGTACTAAATGCAGAATAAGTAAATAAAGGGAAAAAGAAATATAATGCTGATAATAAAAATATTCTAATAAATATTGATAATATTATAAATGTAATTAAACTAATAAATAAAGCATAAAAGAAACCATTAATCAATAAATAAGAGAAAATAATACATGATAATATAAAAATAATAATAGGTAATATAATTTGTTTTGTAAATGTATATGATCTTCTAAATAATATTGATAATCCACAAATAATATAAATAATTGGTTTATCTAAACCAATAATAGTTATTATATCATATGAAAAATCAAAAATACCTTCAAATTTTAATTTAATAAAACTTTCATTAAATCCTTCTATTATTTTATTCCAAAATAAATAATTATTTTTCCCATTATTAAAAATTTGTTTCATTATATATTGTACTATATTACAAATCCATTGTGTTGTTAATGAAACATTAAATAATGAAAATATAACAATCCCAAAAATTATTAATGAAGTAATATGAATAGTTACCCAAATAATGAATTTATCTTGAGGTAATTGATTTAATATTTTTCCTATTAATGTTAAACAAATAATTGTAATCCAATAATTATCAACTATTGTATCAAGATATCCTAATAAATAACATATTGTAGGATGAAATGGACAATGATGTCCACACATTTCATTTTCCATTGCTATTGATATAATTTCTAATGGTTTATATATTTTATGAAATGCATTAGGAAAATATGTTTCTATGAAAATAATTTCAGAAAATGTAAGAACAGAAAGTAATGTAAAGATATGAGTGAAATTCCAGTGAATCATTTACTCAAAACTATCAATAATATTTTTTATAGTTTTAATATTTATTTTTTTTTTCTATAAAAATAGATAAATTTAATAATTTATAATTGTTATTCATCAAATTAATAACTAAATTAGATTATTCTTATTAATACAAATTTACATTTTGAAGTATCATTTTTTTTATTATGAATTATCTTAATGTTATAATCTTATTAATATTTATAATCAATGAAAACATGATTTTCATGTAAAAATAAATTTAGAATATATATATTTTTAAATTTATAAATTGATTTAAAGAAAATCAAACAAGTATTTATTTTGATATCAATTCTTTTTGAAAATCTTTATTCTAATAAAATAAAAATAATATTTAATACATTAGTTTTGAATGAAATGAAATAATTCAAGTTTATTCATTAATTCCTTACCTCATTATGATGAATAAATGTAAAAATATTAGAATCAGAAAACAAATTACTAATTCTGTGTTTATAGAAAATGAAAATAAGAATATGATTATGACATTAATGAATTAAAAATGAATTAAAAGAAATAAAAATCAAATTTTTTAATACTATTGAATAAAACTTGTTAACTCTAAATTTGAAAGAATCCATAAAAGAGGAATTTTTAATCTCTTATAAATCTATCAATTGAAAAATGATTATTTAATCTCATCTTAAAATAATTCATTCATTAATGTCTGATAGAAACTCTTCTCATTCTTATGGTACTTTAATTGCTCGTAAAAAATCTTTGAAAGAAAGAAAATATTTTGATTCTGCTGAATGGGCAAGTGGAGATAATACATCTCTTCAATCACCTCCAAAAACACAAATACATATTCCTCATAATATATCTCCTCAAACCTCTCGATTAAATCTAAGTTCAATTTATATTGAAGAATAATCAATTATTGTTTTTTGTTACTTTAAATATCTTTTTTATTTATTAATAAGAGAGATTTAAATAGAAGAATTATTTTAAAAAAAGGATAAATAACATTTTTTTATTGAAAAAAAAAAAGAAAAGAAAAAAAAAAAATAAATAATCCAAAAATGAATGGAAGAAAAAAAAAAGGGTGCAAAAACTTAAAACAAGTTCTAACTTTAAAACAAAGAAGTTTATAATGAATCGTTCTCCAACTAATACACCTATTAAAAAGACATGGAATAAGAATGCCATTAAAGTTTCAAAAAAGTTTTCAAAATTATTTCAAGAATTAAGAAATGAATCATCAAAAGGAGAGTTATCAGAGAAATCTAGTATAAAATTAAATCAACAATTAGAAATAATGGAATCAATTTTTTTACAACAACCATATCATGAAGAAATTGCACCAGATGATGTTGGATGTGCTTTTATTAATTTATTAGAAAGTTCTATTGATTTTTTATTAAGAGCTGAAAATGATGATAGTACAGTTAGAGTTTATGAATTGATTTATAAACTTGTTATATTTGAAGGATATCAACCATATTATTTAGAAGAATTTCCACCAGAACGTATGACATCAGGAATGATAAATATGTTTACTGGATATCATTCAGCACTTTTTAGATGTGCATTATTATTAATATCTTCATTATCATCTTCAAATATTCTTAATGAAGTTAAAGATCAAAAAGATAAATTAAAAGTAAAAAAATTAACTACATTCCAATTTGTTATAACTGCACCTCCTTTAGAAGAAATTCAATATAAAATTATTTCAAAAATTTTATCAGCTATATCATTACGTATTCCATCAATATTAAAAGATATTTTTGAATCTGTTGGTTCAAAACAAATTCCAATATGTCGTAATTTATATAGAATTACTGTTTGGGATTCATTTAATAAATATTGTTGTAATATAAATAAAAATTGTCAAAGATTTTCAAATGGAATTTCTGGAGTAGATACTAAATGGACATTACATTTTGCAGCTCGGTTACCATTTTCATATTATTATTTTGTATCATTTCTTGAAGACCTTTTATTAATTTTTGAATATACTTCTGATCAATTTATTTCAGTTCCTGGGTATTCTATTCTTAATTCATTAATTACTCATTTATCTCATGGAAGAATATCAAAAATTAGTGATATTGAAATGTTTTATAAAACTGAAGCACTTTTATGTGTAACTGATTATCCTACAATTTTAAATCAATATATTAATGATAGATTATCAAGAACTAATACTTATTCTATTGATAATTTAGCAATGTTTGTTGTATCTTTTCAACATATCTTTATGCAACTTAATGAAAAGAAAATTATTATAGAAAATATAGAAATGAAACGTATTATACAAATATTACAAGCAATTGTTACATCTGATTCATATTATGCTTTAACTGTTATGTTTTCAATGATTTATGAACTTCTTCCTATTCTTAATAAAAAATATCGTGTAATGCTTATTACTTTTATTATGGATAATTTTGAACATTTCTTTGTTCATTGGTATTACCAAGCACGTATTTTCTTTTTTAAATTAATTCTTCTGAAAATGACACTTGCTCCTTCTTTCAGAATCAATGGTGGACTTCTTCAAGAAGAAATACAAAAATATAATACTTATGGTGATTTATTATATGACCAGTTTGTTACCTTTTAATTGTGTATTATCAATAATAATATTATAGATCAGTTTGTATTCGTATAGAAGAAAAAATAAGAACTTTAAGAAATATCCAAAAAAATAATGAGCAATTGAGTGATTCAGAAAAGAAAAATATTATTTATATCAACCAAGCATTTAAAGAATTCAATGAACAATCCCAATTCTTAGAACAATGGAAAAATTCAAACTCATTAACTTGTCCAATTGCTCATTTAGATTTATCTTTAGTAAGTAATCTTGTAAGTAACCTCATTTAACCATCTCATTACAACTAATTTCATTGAATTATCATATTAAATGCATTTTATACATTAATTGATTTTTCTTCTTAACATTTAAAACCATTCAAAACTCAATCAAAAATGTGTAGATTGTAATCATTTTCTATGGAATATTTTCGTCTATTTGTTTCATTTTATTCTGTTCTTTTTCTTTTTTAATTCGTTCTTTTCTTTTTCTCTTCTTTTCTGCTTTAGACATTGGATTTAATAATTTACTATTTTCTATTTCTTTGATTAATACTAATTGATGATTTCGTACATCTGAACTAACTAACTGAAAACAAGTATTTCCTTTACAACACTGACAACCGTTGAAACGATTAACAATATCATCAAATGTTTTATATTCTTCTAAATGATACAATCGAGGTAAAGTGTGTATATGACCAAATATACAAAAACTAGGACCAAACTCACATATTTTTTTGGATATTTCTGAATCATCTCCATTTTCATTAAACGGAGGATGATGGAGAACAATTATTTTAAGTCGTTCTGCTCGTTTACATCGTTCTGTCATTCTCTTTATTGCTATATCTAATTTTACTAATTCTTCCTTTTGTTTTTCTTCATCAAAAGGGACAATAAGTGGTTCAGGAACAAATGTTTGAGGATTAATTGGGGGCCAAACATTGAAGTTGAAGTCACATAGTGCTGTACCTCCTATAATCACATCGTCATCACAATATTCGTTTTCTGCAGTAAGAAAATGCATCCCATACTTTTCTTCTAACTCTTTAACGAAAGAAGTACGACTTTTGAACCAATAATCATGATTTCCTTTGCAAATAACTTTAATTCCTGGACGTTGTTGGATCCACAATAAGTCTTTATCTCCTTCTTTCTTTATGTTTCTAGTCCAACTAACATCTCCAGCAATTATGATAATATCTTTTTCGTTGACATTTTTGTCCCAAAACTGTTGAAGTATCTCAATATGGTTCTTCCATTCATCACCCCAAAAGGTCATATCCTTTGTTATTTTTAAATAATCTATCTTTTTAGAAGGATTAGAATCAAAACCAGGGTACTTCTCCTTTGCTTTTGTAACTAAATCGAAGTTAAGATGGATATCTCCAATGGCAAAGATTCTTCTTGGTGTTGATTCCATGAATAGGGTTGTCTAAAATTCAAAGTTCATTCTTTCTTAATCATAAAAGAAAGAATCAAGAGAGAAAAAAATAAATAAAATAGATATAGGTGAAAAAATCAAATTAGCAGCTACAAGATGATTGTGTTTTATCTGGTTGAAGATCAATTTGGACGCTTGGTAATGGTTCTGGTTGTGGAACCTCTTTTTGTCTCATTGCAACAAGAGTAGCAGCTTTAGTGAAGGCACTGTCAACATTCCATCCAGTCTTAGCAGAACATTCAAAGAATTCATACCCATTAGTAATACACCATTGCCTTAATTGGTCAGAACTTACAGCACGATTAGCTGGTTCACAATCATTTTTGTTTGCAATAACAACATAAGGGAATGATTCAGGATCACTAGGATTTCCACCACTGATGAATTCCTTTCTCCAAACCTCAAGATGTTCAAATGATTCTGCAACTGTAACATCACAAACTAACATACAAACATCTGCACCTCTGTAAAATGCAGTTCCAAAAGAAGCAAACCTCTCATGACCGGCAGTATCCCAAATTTGTAAAGAAATTTGTTGGTCATTTATTGTAATATCTTTTGTCATAAAATCAGCACCAATAGTTGCTTTGTATTGAGATGAGAATTGTTTTGTTACGTATTGATTTAAAAGAGAAGTTTTTCCTACACTAAAGAAAAGTTATTACAATTGGTTACTAAGTATAATTAAACAACAAATAATATTACAAACCCACTATCTCCTAGTATGATAATTTTAAAGAGGTTTCTCTTCTTTCTTATTGGATTCATTGATTTATTAACATTTTAGAGTTCAGATTATTTTTTTCTGAGTTTCTTTTTTTTCGAATCTCTGGATTCCACTGATTTCTTCTTTCTTCTTTTGGATTCTTCCTTCATGCGTTTCTTTTTTATTTCAATTCTATTTATAATTATAAGTCTTTTGATTAAATTTATTTTAAAAAAACTGTACTCTAACTTTTTATTTAGGTGAAAATAATTAAGATATATAAAACAATAAAAAATATTGTGTTATTGATTAAACCTTTAGACCAAATAAAATATAGAATATAATAATTTTTAAATAATAAAAAATAAAATAAAGAAAACCTAGAACTTAAAAGTATTAAGTCCAGTAGTGATGGCTAGAGGTCTTCATGCTGCTCGTAAAATGCTTGCTCAAAGAAGAGCCAATAAATGGGCTGATAAAGAATGGAAAAAAGGAAAACTTGTAACCAGATATAAGTGTAACCCACTTGGAACTGCTTCACATGCCAAAGGACTTGTTCAAGAAAAACTTGGTATTGAAACTAAACAACCAAACTCAGGTATTAGAAAATGTGTCAGAGTTAGATTGTTGAAAAACGGTAAAAAAATCACTGCTTTTGTTCCACGTGATGGTTCACTTAACTATGTCAATGAAAACGATGAAGTTTTAATTTCTGGTTTCGGTAGAAGAGGACACGCTGTTGGAGATATTCCAGGTGTTAGATTCAAAGTTGTCTGTGTTGCTGGTGTTTCCCTCTGGGGTCTCTGGACTAACAAGAAACAAAAACCACACGCTTAATTAAGTATGTTGTGATAGTTTTAATGAAAACTTAATGAACTGTTGGTTATAATTTTTTTCCTTGTTTAATCAATAGTTGAGTAATTTGTTATACCATGAAAAGTTTTCTTTTTATCACTTTCTTCAGGATAAATCTTTTTTATATCTTGAATATTAATCTGAAAAAGTCACAATGACTATAGATAGTTATAATGTCAATTATCCTTTGTTCCTTCAAAACTACAACTCACGAATTTCTACGTTTCAACAAGATATATCTGATTTAGACAAACTTGAAGTTGAAAAGAAGATGATTAATGAGTCATTAGAACGGTCTATTTCTGATAATTTTTTACAAGTTGATGTCAGCAGTAATTCAATACTTGTTAAAGGAAAGTGTGATCTTAGTGATATAATGTTATTAATTCATCTAAGAGGAAATAAAAAATCAACATACACTGAGAAGATAAGAAATCCTATATTTTCATTCACATTCACTATTCCATTTGGTTATTATGAAGTTAAAGTAATTGAAGCTAAAACTATGAGAATTATTCTTGGAAAGAGTAATGTCTTTGTGGGAACTTCAGTTCCATTCAGTTTTGTTTTAAAAGATAATGGGTTTTTGATTCAATTTAGTGATAGAGGTAATGGATTTATAGGAATACTACCAGAAGACAAGAATGAACTTAATTTTAAAGGTATTCAATTGTTTACAATAGTCAATGGAACTAAAACATTTTTTGCAAGTTGTAGTACTATACCTCAACGAGGTGAAATACGTTATTATTCCTCTACTTGTTATCAAATTAAAGAACATACTCCTTATTTATCTTATCAACCATTTTCATTAATCAATTAATTTATTTATTATTCTTTGAAATATATTTTATTAGACAAGAAAACAATCAATATAAAATATCATCAGGGTCTTCGGGTTTATATATTGATATGATTGATGAATTAACACTTTCTGATGATTGTAAAATATCTGAAAGTAATGTATAAATTTCATCATCGTTTTTGTTAGTCCCTTCTTCTTCCATTTTCTTTTCAGGTACAAGCAATGAATCTTCACACATTTGATGTACTCTATCAGATGGAAGTGGTTTATTAACTTCACTATATAAATGATAAGAAATATGAATAAATATAAATAACAGTAATAACAAACGCTGCAAGAACAGATAATTTTTGTTGAATTTTATTTTGGACTTTTCTATAATAAATTGCTTTTTCAATTTTATCTAATAACTCTGGGTTTTCTAAAAATTTAATGTATAACATGTGTTTGAGTTGATATTTGTGTCTCAAAAAGATATCATATCTAATAGAGTCATCCTGAATAAAGTTAAAATATTTATCAAAAGACTCTTTAGTAATAAAAGAATTAACAATGTCGTTAATGAAAGGAGCAATATGTTTAATGTGTTGTTGAGTTTTTTCCATGGAATACTTTTTTAAATTTAGTTTTTTTTAAGAATTTTAGATTTTTATTTTTTAAAGAAAAAAAAGAAAAAGATATTTGTCTAAAAATTAAAATAATTATGAATTCATACATTTTTCATCTTTAAAAATTTTCAATTTAAACTTAAAATCAAGAACTCATAATAATAAAATGTCAATTTCTAACACAGTTTTATTTGCTTTCACGGACTCTGCATCAGTCACTGAAAACGAATTTTACTGGAGCTCAGTTAATAATTTGTACCAAGATTTAGTTTCAAAGTATGGAGTTGATAATGTTAAAATAATAGCTTATAGTGATGGTTACATTGAACTTGATAGAATTCAATTTAATGGAATGGTTCAAAGAAAAAGAGGAGATTGCGGTGGACATTGTATGACTAATATCTCTCGTTATATTCGTAATAATTCCTTTAAAGACGATTTAGTTCTTGTAACCGATGGACAAGGAACATCTGTAGAACAAGCTAAACTTGAAATGCAACAACATGGTAAAATTCATAGTTCAAATGTTTACATAATTGGAGAAAAAGGAAATAGTGATGTTGTATCCCCATTTATTATTCAAAGTGGAAGTAAAGTATATTCAGTAACAAGTGAAGGTACTAAATTAATTATGGAAACTGAAGAAGATGAACGAAGTACATTTTTAGGAATAGAAAAGATGTCAGTTAAAGAATTTTTAGAGAATTTTGATAAAATATATAACTACATTAACAAACCACACTTATTTGGATACACAAACGTAGATAAAACACGTACAATGTATAATAACGAAACTATTAAAAATATTCTTATGAAAGAAAAGTCTCGATTAATTTATGAATATGGTCAAATGAATAAAGGAGAATCAGAAAAAATCTTAATTCAATGTATTAATGAAGCTGATTTTACTACAGCATCTAAAGAAATAGATAATATCGTTAAAAAATATTATGATTCAGTTAATTCATCTTCTCAAGAATTAACAATTGAAGAAAAGATTGATAAATTGATTGAGCTTTGTGGAGTTAATAAAGTTAATGGATTTAATAAACAAGGAATTCGTTCTAATAGGGATAAAAGGGCTAAACAAGTAAAGAATGCAGACCTCGATACAGTTACTGATGAAGGGATTGAAGAAGCATCAAAAATTATTATGAAAGAGTTAGTTGAATGTCCGTTAAGTGGAGAAGAAGATGTACCTGTATTATTAGTTACTAATTCTAAATTATTAAATGGAGTTGCTAAGAATGTAACTAATGAAATTATTAATTGTCCATTTAATATTGTTAATTATCCAACAATTAAAAAGAGTATTATTGACGCATTAGGTGGGTTTGTTGGTTTAAGGTCAATGAAAGAAAACCAATTACTAGAATCTCCACTAACTGGAGAACCAATCATTGGAGCTATTATATTGTCAACTCAAAAACAATGTTTGGAAATTACAAAAAGTACTATTGCTCGTATGTTTACTGATGGAAAATTACTTGGAGCACCAAGTTCATATCTTATTGCGATTTATGAAATTATTAAAAACACTTCAGAATATGAAAACATTTTATTAGCATTAAAAAAAGTAATTATTCAAATGTTACAAACTAGTCAATCAAATGCTAGTATGAGTGGAAATGTATCACAAATTTGTATACCATTAAGAGCAGATATTTCTCTTTGGTTTATTGCACATTCATGTTTATCAAAGATACCACCAGCAAATAGTCCATTTATTTTACATTTAAATCATATGCCAGTAATTTTTGATATATTAGAAATGTTAGAGTATCCAATTAGTGAAAAAGTTAGAAGACATTATATTCATTTTGTTATTGTTCAAACTCTTCATAGAATGAAATTTATTAATTCAGATACAGCAAATTGTTTCATGAAAGCACTGTATCAAAAAGCTATTTTTATTAATAAAAATAATGTCCGTGATGAAGTAAAAGCCAAAGAATATTATCTCCCATTTGTATTTGTTGATGGTAAAGCAGAACAAGAACAAATAGATTTTGCATTGTCTTTATTAAATCCAATATTTAAAGAGGTTTCAGTAGAAGAAGTTATTACATTAAATAGTTTTGCACATGAAAAATGGAAGGTTGAAAAAACTGATTTACCAATTGATCTTACAGAAAAACATCCACAAATAGAAGAAAATTGGAAAGAGATGAATACTAATGAAATAAAAGAATATAAAGAAAAGATGAAAAGGAGGTTTATAAAAAAATATAGTTTTGAACCAACAAGAGATGAATTTTTATTATTCTTGAGTAGACGAGTTCAAAAAGGAACTATTCCAAATGTCTAAGTAAAGGTCAATATTTTTTCTTTATGCTTTTTATTTTTTATAAAAAAAATTATTGATATTTCTGTTATCCTTTCAAAAAACTAAATATTTATATGAAAGGTTTAACTCTAAAAGAACGTCAAGATAAACTTGTTAAATCTACTTTTGAAAGAAAAGGTGTTATTCTTGAGGTAAATGGGAGGTGGAGATTTGAACTTCATCGTGGGGTTATATATGAAGGAATGATTGGAATGTATCTTGGGAAAAATGATTCTGAAAAGAAAATTCCAATTACATTAGACTCATTACTTATAAAACCATTTCATGTATATATGGAATATCTTTTAGGAAGGAGTGTTTGTCTCAAAAAAGAAGGATTAATGAGAGCTGTTTTTGTTTCTTGTTCATTAATCAAATTTGGAGTTTCTATTGAAAATGCATTAGAATATGGAATCAAACATTTTGCAGTTAATAACTCTTATGAAGATGAAATAAAAAATAAAAAAGTTCTTGCTTCTGGAATTGTTCAATGCATAACCAGAGAGACACTTAATTCTATGATGTTATTTAATTCAAAACAAGATGCTGAAGTGTTTCGTAGTTCAGTTGAAGTAGCACCATTAGAGGATGTTATTTATTCATTTTCTGAGTGGTTAGAATTACCACTACGTAATTCAACTCGTTCAAAACATTTAACCTCAACAATTATAGGTTCATCAAAGGTAAAAGATATTGATGAAGTTCATTCTCAATCACCTCGTAATGTAAAACCACCTCCACTAGATAAGTCTGATAGTGATAAAATAGTCTCACAAAAATCATCTAAAGAAGTTAAAACAAGACCACACGAATCATCTCCTGAAACAACATCTCCACGAACTTCTGTTTTTGAAAAATCACCTGAAAAGTCTATTGAGAAAAGTGATTTATCAAAACAAGCAGAGAGATTAGATAGGATTGAAAAAATTATTAAAACATCAAAAGAGAAAGTAAGAAACTTTTCTAATTCTTTTGTTATATCAGACAGTGCACCATCTACTCCTAGGGTTGAACATGAAGCCAGACGAACTAAAAATGGTATTAGAGAAACTTCATTAAAATCGTTAAGTGAAACTCCACCATTAGAAAGTTATGAAGACCGAATAAAAGACTCTGAAGAAGATGAACAAAAGAAACAAAAGAAAGCATTAAAACTATGTCGGATGAGCATTAGTAATTTAGAAAACCAAAAATTTAGTAAATCAATGAGAAAAACAAAAAAATTTGATTTGAATGATGAATATCAAAATAAGGAATATAAATTAAATGAAGAACAAGAAAAAGCTCTAATAAAAATTCAATCATTTTCTCGTTCACATCTTATAAGAAAAAAATATAACTTTAACAAAATTAAAATAAGAAAAGCAGCTATTAATGAACTATATGAAACTGAAGTAAGTTTATTAACCAAAATGAAATTAATGGAAGAAAATTTTATGCATCCATTAATGGCACTTGGAGTAAGTAGTAACATTATTAATAAAATATTCCTTACACTTCCTCAATGTATTCAGTCATCAACAATTTTTGTTGATGAATTGAAAAAAAGAATTATACCATTTCATGCAGATACGTGTATTGGAGATTTATTAAGTTTATTAATTACGTATATTACTCCTTATCTCTCATTTACTACTGATTATAATATTGCATTAAATACTTGGAAGTCTCAACAAAAGAATCTTAATTTTCAAAAAGTTGTTAAATTAGCATCTACTTCAGATAATTTGAAAATAGAACCATTAGATTTGTTATTAGTTCAACCAGTTCAAAGAATTATGAGATATCCAATGTTAATTAAAGAAGTTATTAAACAAACACCACATAGTCATCCAGATTATCCATATTTAAAGAAAGCACTTAAAGAGTATCATTTCTTCTGTACATTAGCTAATGAAAGATCAAAAATGAGAGATGCATTAGCTGATCTTGCAAATGTATTAAATATGGATAATTTGTTTGTGAAAAATAGGTATTTAATTTGGTCATGTTCAGTAATAAATAAAAAGAAAACAAAACTTCATGTATTTAATGATATGATTATTCTTGTCCAAAAACAAGGAAGATCAGACAAATGGATTATTATTGATACTTTACCAATTGCAAATGATGTTGATGTTAGTTTATCACAAAAAACAATTACTTTAAAAAAGTATGGAAGATCAATTCCATTAATTGTAGAATTAGAAGATATACAACAAGCTAAACATGTTCTTAGTTCAATAAGTTCTATTATACGAGATGAATGTTATAATCTTCAAGACGATAGAGCATGGTTAGACTTTTTAGACCGAAGTGTTCTTAATTGATAATTTTTAATTAAAAATGGTGTATCATCTATAGAAATAAAAAAAAGAAACGAAATAAAAAAAAATCAATTAAAAAAATCTTTTTATTTCTTTTGAAGAGCAATACTTGCATCAACAATTTGTTTAATCAAGTCTTCCATCTTTGAAATTTCTGTAGTAAGATGTTTTCTATCATTTTCTAACTTTTCAATATGACCTTGTGTTGTTGTAATATTTTCATTAAGCATTTTCTTTGCTTCATCAAATGAATATTCCATCATAACATTTGCCTAATAATATTAAATAATGAATAATAATTAAATAAATTTGATAAAGAACAAACTCCAATCCATAAATTGACAGTTTTTGGTTTATTAATAGTAACTGGTAAATACAATCCATTAGAAATTTCGAATTTTGTTTTAACTTGGTCATTAGTCTTTTCTTCAAGTAAAATAACATATTTTAAAGTTGATTTTGTTTCATCAACTTTCTCTATTAAAGTTGTTTTTCTTTGTGAAACAAAATCAAGGAAAAATTTAAGATTTTTGTAAGTATCTTCAATTGATCGTATTGCTTGTTCTATTCCACCTTTTTCTTGAACATATTTTTTAACGTCAGGCTATTTAATTGATTTTTTATTTTTATTTTTTAAAATTTTTAAAACAAACTATAACTGGACAACAGATACTAGTTGGAGCAATTTCAACGACTTTTGCCATCTGTTTTTGAATTTTTAGTCCACCTTCAATTTATTTTTCATTTTCTTTAATTTTGTTTTAGTTTATTTAATTAAATATTTTATTAATAATTTATAATATAATTTATAATATAATTTATAATATAATTATAATTGTTTATAGATTGTATTTATTTTTCTTAAAATTGAAGAATTTCAAGAAAAAAACCAAAAAAAAAATAAAAATAAAAAAATAATTTAAATTTTAAAAACTTATTACAAGTAAATTCATTTATGAATATTACTACAACTATTCTTGATGAAGAAAAAAGTCTTATTAATGAATACCCACCTGAACTTTCACAAGAACCATATCTTATTGTTGGATTAATTGGAAATGAATATTTACCACAAGGAATAAAACAAAATTTATTTAAAGAAGAAGGTAATAATGGAGAAAGAAAAATTGTTCCTTACGTTACAAAGAAAGAATATTTACCATTAAGAAAACAACAAAAAAGAGATGATATTTATGAATTTCTTCAACCAGACCAAACATTTGTTCGTGCTGAATGGTTAAATAAAGTTAGACATAATACCCCAAGTGTTATTGTAATGTTTGAGACATCAGAAACATTATTTAGTCCCGATCATGATGTTGTACCACAAATAGAACTGATTAGAAATGATTTATTAACAAGACAAATTAAATTAGTTATAGTAATTATTACACATTCACCACAAGTAATTGTTACATCTGATAGTTTTAATTCTTTTAGAAAAAGAACAGAATTAGATGGAATATATTTTTTTAATTTAAGTGATATAAAGAATTCAATGATATCGTTAACAAATATTATTAAAGAACTATCAAAACAACATTATAATGAGATAGAATCTATTTTAAAAAATAAAGCCCAAATAACAAAATTACCTTGGAAAGCAGCAATATCATATTTTAAAGCTGCTTTTATTTCTGAAGTTAAAGAAAATAAAAATGAAAATATAAAAATATCAATTAAATTATATTCAAAAGCCTATGACTCTGCTGTTGAATTATTAAAAGTTGAAGAACAAAGATTTTATAAATCTTCAAATGTTCTTGCAACAAAAGAATTTATTAGTTGGATAATGTTTAGAATGTTTCATTTATTTGAAAAATTAAATCAATTTAAAGAAATGGTAGAATTTTTTAATAAGTTTATTAAAACGTGTTTAAAATATATTGGAATTGATGAATTTTTAAGTACACATTATTATTGGATTGCAAAACAATATCAGTTATTGGCATCAATTTATGAAAGAAATAAAATAAATGAAAATGATTCAATATATTATTCATTTTCATCATCTGTTTATATGTCACAAGCATATTATACAAATAAAAAGTTATATTCTTCAAATTTAATTCCTGAATTTTCTAAATATTTACCATCAAAGTGTAATCCAGAATATCTCTTTGATTATGCTTTAAAACAACATTTTTATACTTTATTTAAAATTCATGACTCTTTAAAACATAAAAAAATTTTAATTTATATTACTAAAAAAATTACTTTATTACTTCTTAATAAACCTTCTTTAAAAGATAATAGAATTCAATGGTGGAATGATGTCACTATTCTTAAAGTATTTAATGAAATTAAAATTCCTCAAAATGCTTTATATTATTTTATTGATTCACTATTTTCTTTATTTGATCAATGGAAAAAATTTGATCAAACTTTACCATTTGAATTAAAAGATGAAAACACTAATAATACTTTTATTATAGATATTTTAAATACTCTTAATCAAACTGATATTCCTTTAAAAAAACATATTATTAAAACTCCTTTACTTTCTTGTTTTGTTTCTTTTGCAACACCTTGTTGTATTATTGGTGAATCAACTTCAATTAATTTAGATATTATTAGTCGTTTACCTTCATTACCGTTATATAGAATTGAATTACTTTGTGATGATATTAATTATTCTATTAATTTACCTTCCCATTCAGTAAAACTACCTCAAAAATTAAATGGAAATTTAAAAATTTCAATTCCTTTTATTCCTAAAAGAATTGGAGATGTTAATATTCAACAAATAAATATTTATTTATCTGATAAAAAACCATTATTAATAACAAAAACTGAAAATGAATTAAAAAATAGTAAAGACTCTATTCTTAAATTTTTCGAAATTCAAAGAATTATTCCTGATTTTAAACCATTAACTCATCTTCATGTCATTCAAAGAAATCCTTCAATTAAACTATCAATTGAAACTGTTACTCCTGCTATAGTTGGTGAAAAATTACCAATTATTATTGAAATATTAAATGAAGAACATTATACACTTACAAATGTAATGTTATCAACTAAAAATGATGATGTTGTTCTTACATCGGATACACATTTAGATGAACCAAAGAAAGTTATATCATTTCCAAATATTGGAGTTAATCAAAAAACAAACAACACTTCTTATTTACAATTTAGTAAAACAGGAAAAATTTCTGTTGTTATTATAATCCATTATTCTGGTATTAATAAAGTAATGAGTATTGATAAAGAAGTTATTTTTGATGTTCACAAACCATTTAATCATCGATATGAATTTATTTCAAAAGAAGGGTCTCCTGATATTCTTCATTTCTCATTAAATAACAAATGTAAAATCCCTTTGGTAATTGATAAAGTATTGGCTCCAACAGTTCTTCCAATGACTATTCATCCAACAATATTAGATACTCATTATCCTTGTGAATTTTGTTGTATTCCACCTCATGTATCAACAATTAATATTACTATTTTCTGGCATCGTTTACATTTATTTAATGAAGAGATAATAGAAGGAATAACATCATTTGATATTAGGAAAATAACTGAAAATTATGAACAACAAATACCATCAACAAACCAAATTAATTTATTAGAGACTATTGAAAAAAATTATTCACAACCACCAGTTATACAATTTCATTAAAACACAAAGTTGAAAATTATATTAAACTATAATTTACTAAAAAAAGAATAATTAAGTATGTTCATTGTAATAGTTCATTTAATAACTCTTTTTGTTGTTGATTTGTTTGTTCCCAAATTGGTTCAATTAATGCACTATTATTTTGGAACCACAATTTAAGTTGTTCTGTAACTAAATCTTTTGTTACAGAACGAATATGATTTGAGTCTTTAGAAGCTAAACAACTAATAAGAATTAAAAGAGTTTTTGTAATTGTTTCTTTTGTTAATGGAATGAGTTGAGAACTATACAATGAGATAAGATGACTAGGAATAAATAAAAAAAACAAACTGAGCAAAGATAGTAAAAAGAAAAGAAAGAATATCATCTGGATATGAATCAATTGGAAGAAGAGAGAACCATGATAATACAATTTCTTTATTAAATGCTTGAAGGTTATAACAAATGCATTTACCAAGAGTCATTACAGAAGTGTTGTATAACATTTCACTTTCATCTTTTAATCCTAATCCAATTTTAATAATTTCTAATATTTGTTGAAGATAAGGTTGAATACATGGAACTTGAACAAGAAGTAAAATATTTTCCATACATTGATTAAGAATTTCAACATCTTTTGTTGATGCTAATTTAATAATAATTCCAATAATATTTTCAATAAATGAAGTTTGATTAGCAAATAAAATGATAGTTGAGAAAATTGAAGCAACAAACCCAATGACTTTTAAAGAAACACCATTTGTTGTAAGTGAAGCTTTTAGTATTGGTAATAAGATGTTTTGAAATTCTTCAAGGAAGAGTTGAGGCATAAATGTTGCCAATGTTTGTAATAAGGAACGATAATTAAAACAAAAAGTACCTTCTTCTTCATTACCCTCATCTGAATCTTCATCTTTTAGATTATTATCTTTTAATTCTGATTGTTGAATATAATTGACAAGTAATATCTTTAATACTTCAAGTATTGAGTTCATTTGTTGTTTTCCTAAAGGAAGTCTATTAGCTTCAATAATACGTTGTAGTCCAATTATTTGTTCACTAATAACTTCGATAGCTGTCTCAGTTATCAAATTTTTAATAATAGCATCAGTGATTTGTGAACAATAAGGAGTTGCTGCTATCATTGCTTGTTGTATATCTCCTGTTTCTTTTTCCTTACCACTAATAAATGAGCCAATTAAACTAACTGAACATCTTACAGCAGCAGTCCTAACTCTTTGATAAGCCTTTAAACCAATTAAAGGAATAACACTAGAAAGACATTGTTCAACATAAGGAAAGAAAATATTTTTAAGGTCATTTGACAAGTCTGCAATAGACGTTATAGCGTTAACTTTTTCTTCTGCCTCTTCAATGTAAACATTCAATACTTCATCACCACAATAAACTTTTTGAGTTTCACAGTATTCGCATTGTGAAACAATATTTAAATTTACACGTTTTAAAATAATTGGTATCATGGTTGGTAACATTGGAGCACACTGATCTTTTAATAAATCAGCTAAACGAGTAAATGATGTTTCTATATATCCAAACAATGGATCAGATATTTCAAGATTAGGAATATTCATTACTCTTTGAATTTCATTTATAATAATTTGAGTACATGTTCCAATATATTTATCATTTAATTTAGTTGCAATGATAGATATCATTTCAATAATTCTTCCTTTAACTTCAAATAAATCAGTGTAATCAGAAGTTTTTTCTAATACTCGTTGTAACATTGGAATAATTTGTACAAAAAAATCATCTATACCAACTTTCATTTTTAAAATAATGTTAGATAAAGAACATAATGCTTCAGCAACAACTCCTGGATCATCACTTTCAATTAAAGGTGCAATCACTTTAATAAAGTTATTTAAATATGGAGAAAGTTGTTGGGGTGTTAAAGATGAAATTAGAGAAGTAGCAAGGTCACATGCTTTTGATTGATTTCGAGGAATTTCATCAGCAATTCCAGTACCAATAATTTGTAAGACACTCTCAGCAATATTTTCTTGAGTATTTGGATATAATTTAAATATCCTATTACTAAATATAAGGACTTGATTCCTTACTCTTGGATTTTCATCACTTGAAAGTGGAAAGACTAAACGACAAAGATCTACAGCTGCTTTTGATATAGAACTCTTTTTTGAATTGATTGCTGCATTTAATGCAGTTAAAAATGCTAGTCGTTGTTTCCAATCTTTAGAAGTTAATAAAGAGATATGTTGAATAAGGAAATTAACAAAATTTGATGCACCAGTCATATGAGTAATTCGTTCTATAACTTCTTCTGCTTGAAAATAATAAGGGCTATCTTCAATTTCATCTTCATTAGTATACCATTCTGGAATATCATCAACATCACAAAGCCATTTCATTAAAGTTGTAAAAGTATATTTTTGAAGATCTTGAACATTTTTCATTTCTTTATAATAAATTTCAAAGATAGTAACTACTAATTCCATTGCAATACTATGGACCTCTGTATCATAATGTTCATCTTCATCTAGATTACAAACATCTAAAGCAAGTTTTATTGTTATTGGAATAAATTGAGCTAATTGAGGTATATAAACATCAAATATTTGTTGTTCAATTTCAAATACATAAATCCATAAACTATCAAAAGAAGTGTTCTTGATAATTGTAAGAGTTACTTGATGAAGTATAGGATATAATGAAATTGCTTTATCAAGACACATATTATTATCGTTGGCATATTGTATTAATTCTTTAATAATACTCATTGCATTAGACATGAGATCTCCATCATTAGAACTAATTGCTTGATTAACTAGATTAACAATAACATCAAATGCATTTTTCATATCATTTGGTGGTATTGAAACAATTATCTTTTCTAATAAATTTAAACAATAATTTTGATGTTCTCGATCTCCTTGAACACACATATGAAGTATTGAAGGTAAGAATTGAGGAAAAGGGATAGAATTAGTTATACAAATACTATACAATTTTTCAAATATATTAACATATTGATGTAAAATACTAGCCATATTTTCACTTGCCATTTTATCTAACAATTTGGTATTTAATGAGTCTCTGTAATTAGGTGATAATTTCAGATATAATGTATCGTTTAATTCAAACATTTTACCAGCAAAGAGTGTCATAGCCAATTGACGGATGTTAGGGTCCTCATTATTCATTTGTAATATATGTATTGTACAAAAATTTTCTGGATTTGATTTTAATGCACCATACATACCAAGTGCCCATTGGTACTCTTCGGCGCATTTAGGCTCTCTTTTTGTTGGTCCTCTATGAAGAACTTGAAATATTTTAAGACTGAACTGTGCAAGATCCATTGTATGAATTTTCATAGTTTTTTCTTTGTTTTAGTTTTTTATAATAATTAATTTTATCATTAAATTCCTTTATTATTTCTTTTTGTTTTTCATTACTAAACAAATTTATTTTATTTTTTATTTCTGTTTTTTATAACAATAACAGTGTTTCATAATTTTATTAATGAAGAATCAGACTTGCATAAAAAAATTTCAAAACTGGCGTTGAGTGATTTGAGATAAATTAAAAAAATAGTCCAACAAAGAAAAGAATTAGAAGAAACAGTTTTGGCTATTGATAAAATGAAAAAAGAAAAGTAATAATAAATTTTAGAATAATAATGAAATAGAAAACGTTAAATTGAAATACTTATAGAGTATAACATTCAACAAACACAGAAAAGTGAAACAATAATAAATTAAATTCGAATTTTGTGAAATGTTTTTTTTTAAAGGTTTGAAGAAATGTTGAATCTAACAGATTCAATTTTCTAGTATAAAAAAAATTGTATTTAAACAACTTCCACTGAAAAGTTCAGAACTCAAATAGAACTTTTGAACTAGAAATGAGATTCATAAAATATAATGGAAGGAGTAGTTTCACATCATAAATCATCTAAGAAAAAAGTATCATCTTCCAAAATGACACTTACCAAACCATTTCTTTTTGGTGTAAAACATTATAAAGATTTTTATGCAATACAACAAGGAGTTTTAATTGCATTAGCAAATCAGTGTTTTGGAATAACATTAAAAAAACCAAGAAAGAATGCTAAATTAACACAAGTATTTCCAAGAGTAAAAACATTACACTTAAAAGATGAAAATGTAGAGATTATTGATTTTACTGATATGGTTTGTCATCCTTTATTTGAAAAACATTGTGAAGATGTAAAGAAAAGACAAACAGCCCAAAGAAGATTTGAAAAGAATAAAAAAGTTTTTATGCAAAATTTGTTGATAGATATCCTATTAGAATTTGGATTCTTCTTTGATTCTAAAATGGCACGTCATAGTCAAAAAACATTTCGATTAGAACGTATTCAACGAGTATTTTATAAAGGGATTGAAATTCTCAATCTTGATAATTTCATTTCTAAAGGAAATGAAGTAAATGATTATCTTTGTGGGTTGTTTTCAAATGATATTCAAGTAACTTTACAACGTAATGACCCTTCATTATTATCTGTTTTCGGCATTTCAATTAATTAAAAGGAATTTCATGTTTTCTTTTAATTTTTAAAAGACTTTAAACAAATAAACTTTTTTAATAATTAAAAATTAAAAAATAATTCATAAATAACCATCTTAAAAACTACTTAGAAAAAAAAACAAAAAACAAAAAACTATTGACATTTTTTGTTAGAAAAAATAATTTGAATTAAAACAATATTGGCTCTTTTTATTGAAGTAAAATTGAAAAGTTATCAGGCATTTCATTTTTTCTCTTACGTATTCCAACCAAATTCATTTTATTATTCTTTCATATTTTCTGAACTTTTCCTAGAATTGATAATAAAATCTTTTATTTCCTATTCTATTCTTCTCTTTACTAACAAAAAAATATAAAAGAGGTTATTAACTGTGCATATTATCATTGATACTTCAATTTTTGTATCACTAAATCCTAAATATAACTTTTTTAAGAGTGACTTTACTTAAAACATCTTCTAATTAAAAAAAATCTTCTATAAAATTCGAGTTGTAGTCGAGTGAATTTCGAGTGAATTTCAGATAGTTTTCTTTTATGCTAACTATAAATAATTCAAAATTGTTTCAATCTAATTAATCAATGTCTACTTCTGTAAATCCTGCATCTAACCCAGGAGTTGAAATGCAATTACTTACTGATGGATTTGATATCTTTGATGTCACTCCTGATCCAAATAATTTAATGGCAGCAGCTCCTAGAACTACAGACAAAGGTTCTGTTAGTGTTTTTATGATGTTTAAATATGCAACATGGATTGAAATTATTTTTAATATCATTGGTGTTGTAATATCTCTTTGTGATGGTGTTTTATATCCATTAATTGCAATTCTTATTGGTGATGTGTTTGATTCTAAAGCATTCAATCCACTTGCATATGATGTTGCTGAAATTGAGAATTTATGTAATAAAACTTCATTAAAATTTATGTATATTGGAATTGGATTATTCTTTACTTCATTAATTAGAACAATTATTTTTGATGTTACTGGTGGAAATCAAATTAGAAGAATTAGAAGATTATATATTAAATCTCTTCTTGATCAAGAAATGGGTTGGTATGATGCTCATAATAGTGGAGAAATGACTTCTAGAATGTCTGGGGATATTTTCTTATTACATGATGCTATTGGTCAAAAAGTAGGTGAGTTCTTTTCTTATTTTGGAATGTGTATTACTGGATATGTTATTGGTTTTGTTAAAGAATGGAAATTATGTTTTGTTATGATCTCCGTTGCCCCTTTCATGGTTGGTGCTGCTGGTATTTTTGCTTTTGTTCAAACAAGAACTGCATCATCTACTCAAGCATCTTATTCAGTTGCAGGAGGTATTGCTTCAGAAACTATTTCTAATATGAGAACTGTTGCTGCTCTTGGTATTGAAAAGTCAAGAATTCATCAATACCTACAAACTTTACGTCATTCTCTTCATGTTGGTATTAGAGCTTCACATGAAACTGGAGGTTCAACTGGATTATTATTCTTCTTTGTGTTCTGTGCCTTTTGGATTGGTTACATTTATGGTGCTAAAAAAATTCAAAAAAGAGATATGTCTGCAAGTAAATTGGCAATTGTTGTCTTTTCAGTACTTTGTGGAACACTTGGTCTTTCTCAAATTGCAACTCCAATTGGATCTATCTTTAAAGGAACATCATCAGCATATAGAATATTCAAAACAATTGAAAGAGTTCCAAAAATTAAAAATGAAGGAAAGAGACATATTAGTGAAATTAAAGAAGGAAATATTGTGTTTGAAGGTGTTTCATTCTGTTATCCAACAAGACCAGATATGTTAATTCTTAATAATTTCAATCTAGAAATTAAAGCTGGACATTCTGTTGGATTAGTTGGTGCATCTGGATGTGGTAAATCAACAATTATTGGATTATTACAAAGATTATATGAACCAGTGGATGGTAAAATTATGATAGATGGTATTGATATTAGAGAGTTTGATTTGTATGAATATCGAAGTATGTTTGGAGTAGTTGGACAAGAACCTTCACTATTTGCAATCTCAATCAAAGAAAATATAGCACTTGGTGCACATAGAAATATTCTTGCACCACATTATCATGATACATCAGATCCACAAGATTGTTTATTAATGCCAGAACTAGAAGAAAAAATTATGAAATGTGCACACATTGCTAATGCTACTAATTTTATTAATTCACTTCCTCAAAAATTCGATACAGTACTTGGTCAACGTGGTGCTCAAATATCTGGAGGACAAAAACAACGAATTTCTATTGCAAGAGCTTTAATGAATGATCCTAAATTACTTATTCTTGATGAAGCTACTTCTGCATTAGATTTTAAATCAGAAAAGATTGTCCAACGAGCATTAGATAAGGCTGCTGCTGGAAGAACATCAGTTATCATTGCACATAGATTATCCACAATTAGAGATGCACATAGAATTCTTGTATTTGATCATGGACAAGTTGTTGAAGATGGAAATTACACAACATTAATGGAAAAACAAGGACTATTCTATAAACTTGTTAAAAATCAAGAAATGGGAAAGAAACAACAAGAGAAATTTGATAATGATGAAGATTTAGAAGAAGATGTTGTTCCTGAACAAAATGAAGTTGACAAAACATATATTGAAGTTGATGATGATCATAGAACTAATTGGCAAAAATTTAGTGCACACTTCCTTGTATTTGGTAGAGTCTTCAGATTAAATCTCAAAGAAGTTCCATGGATGATTCTTGGATTTATTGGTTCAATGATATATGGTGCTTTATTCCCAATTTTTGCTTATTTCTTAGCAGAAGCAATTTGTATGCTTGTTACTGTTTATTTAACTGGAATGTCTGATGATAGTGAAATTATGAAATACTTCTATATCTTCCTTGGCATATCTGGTGCAATGTTTATTTCAACATATTTACATAAAGCATTCTTTATGATGTCAGGAGAGTTCTTGACATATAGAGTAAGAAAATTATCATTTTATGCAATTTGTAGACAAGATATAGGATGGTTTGATAAAAAAGAGAATTCAACTGGAAGATTAGCTGGAAGACTTGCAGCTGATGCAACTAAATTAAATGGAGTAACAGGTAATTTGATTGGAACAATGATTCATTGTTCATTTTCACTTATTATTGGACTTATTCTTGGATATATCACAAACGTAAAAATATCATGGGTTTCCACTATCTTTGTTCCATTAATTGTATTTAATACATATATTCAATTGAGAATTTCAGTTGGATTTGCTGGACCAGAAACAAAAATCTATGCTAATGCAGAAAATCTTATGACAGAAGTTGTTGAAAATATAAAAACAATTAAAATGTTAGCAAAAGAAGATTATTTCAAAGAGAAATATTGTAGTTATCTTGTTAAACCATCTAAACGAGCACCATTTACTGCAATTATTAATGGACTTGTTCTTGGATGGGTTCATGCATTTATATTCTGGAAATATTCTGTATTAATGTATGTTGCAGGTCAAGAATTAAAGAAAGATCCTTCACAAATGCCAGACATTATGAAAGCATTGTGTTCTATTATCTTTGGAGCTATGTCAGTAGGATTTGCTGCAACATATATGGCAGATTTTGGTAATGCAAAAGTTGCAGCTGAAAGTATTTTTAAAATTATAGATAGAAAATCACCTCAAGATCCATTTAGTAATGAAGGTGAAAAGAACTTTACTATTGACCAAGTTGAATTAGATGATATTAAATTTAGATATCCAACAAGACCAGAACAAGTTATTCTTGATGGAGCAAGTTTTGTTATTCCTAAAGGTAAATCTGTTGCACTTGTAGGACCTTCTGGTTGTGGAAAATCAACAGTCATTCAATTAATTGAACGTTTCTATAAACCAGAAAGAGGAACAGTAAAAATTAATGGAAGAAATATTCAAGAATTTAATTTAGCAACACTAAGAAATAAAATTGGATATGTTGGACAAGAACCATTATTATTTGCTGGAACTATTGGAGAAAACATTGTTAGTGGTATGTGTGGAAGTTGGACTGATGACCAATTAGAAAATGGAGGAAATCTTGTTGCAGAAAATATGGATAAAATTGTAGCTGCTGCTAAAATGGCTAATTGTCATAATTTCATTTGTCAACTACCACAAGGATATAATACTATAATTGGTGAAAGAGGAACTTCATTATCTGGTGGTCAAAAACAAAGAATTGCTATTGCTAGAGCATTAATAACTCAACCTGAATTACTTATTCTTGATGAAGCAACATCAGCACTTGATTCTGAATCAGAAATGATTGTTCAACAAGCAATTGATAAGATTGCTAAACAAGTAACATCAATTGTTATTGCTCATAGATTATCAACTGTAAAAGATTCTGATATTATTGTTGTTCTTTCTGGAGGAAAGGTAGTAGAACAAGGAACTCATGATGAACTGATGAAAGAAGAAGGTGTTTATTTCCACTTGGTACAAATCCAAGCTCAATAAAATAATTTATTATCAATTATTATAAAGTTTTGTTTATTTTGAAATTTAAATTAAGCAATAATGAACAATAAAATTATCTAGAAGTTTTTCTCCCTTTGGGTTTCTCAATTTCACTATATTCTTTTGGAGACATTTTTTTCTTCTTAGAGTATTCAGTTTCATTGATTATACTCATTAGTAAATGTTCCATTCCCATTTCTTTAAGTGGTGTTGACAAAGAGACATCTTTCACTGGTCCACTAAATGAATGAATTTTTGTTCCACGAGCATTAAAACTTTCACGAATTGCATTAATTAAATCTTGTAAAGTGTTTTCTTCCTTCATTGTAACAAAAAAATCTCCTGAAATTGGGTTTGGAATTTTTATGATAAATACGTTGCTCATATACTAATTATGAATTTATCTCTTTTCAAGTTTTTCTCTTTTTAATTTGTTTTTTAATTTTCTTCCTTTCTAAAAATGTTATTAAATTATAAAGTTTAAATTCTTTGTATTTTGATTTATGTTAAATAAAACGAATAAAATATGACTTTTTTATTTTTTCACTTT